AAACCTAACTATATATATATATATATATATATATAGAGAGAGAGAGAGAGAGAGAGATGATGCTCATGCATAAGTGATGTAGGAAATAAATAGAGACCCAACTAAAACTAAAAGCAATCCTGTCTTTTGACACCCACATCATTATCGATCCTTCTAAAACTAAAAATGAACCCTTTCCTTTATCTAAAAGATACCAATAAACTTCCTATCTTTAAACAAACTCTCTAAAACTAGAAACATATTTTCTAATTAAAAGATAACCCTTCCTAAAAAATCAACCAATAGAAACATAATAAAATTAAATTTTTTTGAATTTCCTAACTTTTATTTGCTTCATCTCCCGGTGTAAGGAGAAGCTCGACCTCAAGCTTTTTGAATACAAATCTTTTAGAAACCTACTCAAAAGTTGGTAATGCAGTCTCAACATTCTTCTAAGTATTTTTTCTTTTTCAAATAAACAATTGATCCAACACAGTTTCTAGTGGAATTTTGGCATACCAAACTTTGGAATACTAAACTGAATCTTGACTATCCTTTTAAGCGGATAGGGTTGGATTTCACATATTACATCACACATATTTTCTTCTCCAAAATTTTCAACATCTTTTTCACTGAGATTTACCTCTTCATGCTGTTGTTTCTCTTGTTGTAATCTACCAAGTCGATCTTGTAGATGTTGTGTATTACTTTGCCCATGGTATTCTATTTGTATCTCTATTTTTTGATCGAACTGCTCAAATATTTGATGAAATCGATTCAAATACTCCATATGATATATGAAAATTTGAACTCAAGTTTCTGATACCAGCTATTGTAGGGAAAATAATAAATAAAATTAATAAAGATAAAAAAAAATTTGAAAGATTATGCCATCTCTCTAGGTCCGCAAAGAGTCCACCTCAAAAGATCTTTTCACAAGATCAAATAAATTTTTGTTTGATCAATTCACCAACTCTACAAAGATGGCCATCTTCTATTTAGATCTTTTCATATGATAAAAGAAACTCTTTCTTCACCGAATTCACCAATTGTACATAGAAGGTCATCTTCCCTTTACATACAAAGAAAAATAAATAAATAAATAAAATGATAAAAATTAAGAAAACATGTATAACTCTCTCCCTTATATCTCTCTCTCCCTAATTATTTTTCCTATTTTTTTCTCTCCTATTTTTTCTTTCTCTTTTTTCACCCATCACATGAACTTCTCTCTCCTTATCTCTTTTGACCTCTATGTCATTATCTATCCCACTAAAACTAAAAACATGAATGCTTTCCTTTGTCTAAAGGGTGTGGTTTGCAGAAGCTTTCAACCTTAAACAATCATATTAAGACGTACCTTCAAATTATATTTATGATAAAATTTTGGTGTCCAATAAATCTTTGGTTGGCTCGAGAATCTATTTTCATATTTAATTATAAAATTTTATACTCTAAACATCGATCAAATCAAGTAGATCTATAAATAGATGAAAATATTGAAAATGGATGGTCCAGATAAAGTGTTGCAAGATACACTACTTTGGGGCTCAAATCTATTTTTCTTTTCACATTCATACATCTCGATGTTGAGATGATCAATTAGAGGGTTTTCCAACATCAAAACAACTATTTACGATGGATTTTTAAGGTACACTTCAATTTTATATTTTAAAGTTGCAACCCTATATAAACATTTTTCATACCTTTTAGATACCAATAAACTACCTATCTTTAAACAAACTTTCTATGAGCATATTGTTTTTCTGAAAGATATCTTCTGGAAAGTTGAATCTGGAAAGTTGAATGTTTTGTTTTGGAAGGTTTAAATAAGTTCTGGGTATTGTGTTTGATAACATATAAATATTAACCATATAAATATAAATATATAACATAATATACTATATAATATAATATATTTTATATATTTTCTTAATGCATTTTTGTATTATATATACAATATAATATAATATTTATTATAATATAATATAAGATATTTATATATTATATAATACATAGTATAATATAAGATATTTGTATATGGGTGCAGTGGGCATATGGATGCATTGGTAGCCGTAGAGGTAAGGTGCACCTTCAAATTTTATCGTGGTATATAATTTTGATGTAAAATATTCTTAGGATTATATCAAAATCTATTTTTATATCTAATTATAAAATTTTAAATTTAAAAAATGGTTAAAATCAAGTAGAACTATAAACATATGAAAATCTTGAAAATGGATGGTATACATAATATGTTGTAAAATGCACTATTTCTGAGATTTAAAGGTCAGTTTGGATGTACCCAAAATTGCAAAATTTTCAAATGATAGGAAAAAAGATTGAGATAGCAACTGGGAACCGTTTGGATATCCATATTAGATTTTATTCCCAAACAAAGCACTAAGCCAAATTTGCCCAAAAACATGTGAGGTCAATTTTTTTTCGCTTTCTTCTTCGTGCTTTTCCTCCAAACCTTCCCGCTTTAAGTCGCACTTACAAAAGCCTCTCTTCTACTCTTAAGCAAGTCTTACAACTCTTTCCTTCTCTCATCTTCAACTATGCAGATCCCATCTCCTAATACTAGTTCGACTTTTTCTCTCCCTAAAAAATGAACCTTTTAATCTTTCTCTCTCTAGTAAGCCGCTCCCTTAATTTCACATAGCTCTTCCACGGGTTGCTGGAGAGGGGTTGTACTCCAAGATTCCTTTCTCTTACTTTCTCAAGAAATTCAGGGTTTTGCCCGATATCTCTAGTAACCGTGATTCTTCAGGTGTGGAGTTTTTCTCTGTAACATAGAGTTTCTCTATCTAAATTTAATGGAGTGGTTTTCTGCATAAACTTAATGGATTGGTTTTCTGAATATGCAGAGGAAGATGGTTTACAAGCTCAAAACATTTACAGATGAAGGTTTGTAAAGGACGTATGACCTCTTTTGCCCATCCATCAAGTTACTTTCTCTCTAATAATAATATTGAACTTCTCTCTGCTCTTGCTTTCTAGATTCCTCTCATTCTCTCTATCTTGTGTATTTATAAGAATAAACTGCAAACGTATGACCTCTTTTGCCCATCCATCAAGTTACTTTCTCTCTAATAATAATATTGAACTTCTCTCTGCTCTTGCTTTCTAGATTCCTCTCATTCTCTCTATCTTGTGTATTTATAAGAATAAACTGCAGATTTAGAGAGGAATCATTATAATTAAATTCTGAAATTGTATAAATTGGATTTGGGATTTCTTATCGATTTCTTGCAACTCATCCAAACAGACATATCTGGCAAATAAAATTTTCTTCTCACATTTTAATAGACATCCAAACAGTCTACCAACATAATAAAATAAAACGATAATGTTTCCCAATTGAGGAAGAAAAAAATTGTTTTTTTTTTTAATGTGAATATTTTTTTATTTGACATCCAAACTGGGCCAAAATCTTTTTAATTTTTATGGCCATGCATCTTGATGTCGATATGATCAATCAAAGGGTTTTTCAACATTAAAACTAACTTTTCTGATGGATTTTTGAGGTGCATCCGTAGTTCTACATTATAAGGTTGCATCCTTATATAAACTTTTTCCTTTGTATGTTATGTATATAATATTTATATTATTATATTATATATAATACTTATTTAATATAATGAATATATTATTTATAATATATATAATATATAATGTAATATAGGATATTTATATATTCTATATAATATAAAAATATATTATATATGAATATTATATAATATAATAAATATATATTATATATTAAATATAATATATAATCAATATACACTATATAAATTGTATTAATAAAATGAATATATAATATAATATAATATTATAAATTATAATATTATGTTATAGTAATATTATATTATATTCTATTACATAAATAATACTGATATTATGTATTTATATTATGAATAGTGAATAGTGAACAAAGAAGTTATGAAAGATTAAATTCCTACGTCCCTTAGGAACTTAATCTTTCACTTTTTAACAAAGGAATGGGAACTTTTGTTGAAAAATTAGTTTCCGAACTTTTCATGAAAAGTGTGAAATAAACGCGGAACTTTTCAAAATCTGAAAAAAATAATTTTGGAAAGACTACTTTCAGAAAAACAAACCTGCCTTAAAACTAGAAACATAACCTTTAGTTAACCCTTCCTAAAAGAACAGCCCATAAAAAAATAAAAAAATTAACCTTTTTTAATTTTCTAATTTTTATTTGCGTCACTAACATTTCGCTGTTTGCACTTCAAATATCAGCATTTTGAGAGAGAAAAGCCTAAGAGTTTGGGTATAAAGAGAGGAAGATTAGTAGCACGAAGAGAGTGCTAAAAGGGAGAAGAGAGATCTCATTAACCCTAGAGGACTGGATTTAGAGAGGGAGATATTCCTCACTTAGGGCCCGCACTAACCCTAGTCCCTATAGGGCCCGCCTAAGCCCGGGTCAGCCCTAGCCTGACCAGAGTGACCCTAGCGCAGTCCTATCCCTAGCCCTACTAGGCCAAGGCTGGGTCTGTGGTAAAATGTAAAAAGCGTAGTTGGAAAACAATTAAAATAAAAAATAACTTAGGTCGGGCGAGGCCGAACAGGGCTAGCCTAGGCTAAGCTCGGCGCGACCCTACCCTCGTGGCACAGTTGCGGAGACGGCGATTCATCCTAGAAACTTATGTAAAGTTACTAATGACAATCATAACCCTCTTTATTTCATGCACATTTGTGAGGCATATATACAAAGCAATCTTGCAGAGGTTCAATACAAATGCTGTAACTGGCTCAAGTATCTTAGTATCTTAATAAATTTATTAAAGAAATATTACAAATAAATATCTATCTATTTGAAAGTCACACTCCCATGTAAACATTAAGAAACCCAAATGGAAGACCAGCCTATGTTCGCCTGACACGTAAGCCTTAACAAACAATTGGTAAATAAAATAAAATGTAAATGAAAATTAAAAGCAAATGAGTGGAAACAAAAAAACTAAAATAAGGAGATGAAAATACACTACGAAAAGTAAAGAGAACATCTCCTCTCTTTAGACCTCTCCAAGATTTGCCCATTCTGCCCTAAGGCTACATCACAGCTCACATGCATCCGATGGTTCTTGCCGTGCCACGTAGTGACCTTAAACCGAATCATGGCCGTTAGTTCCACCCTGAAATCAACGGATCCCGCTGTGAACTGCCGTATCATCTCTTGCATTCCGGTGGACGAGACACCACCACTTGTGAGCATCCCATAGATCCACGTCGTATTCTTGGGTGGCTGATAGAAAGTGGAGATCAACGGTGTCCGGCCGATCACCTGATCCCGAAAAAACACCGTCCCCTCCATTGCATTGTAATAAATACCGATATTTTGGTTTGGATTTCGGGCCGAAATATTGAAATTAACGACGGTATTTTGAGAACCAATTGCTTGATTAATTCCCGGTATCGAAAAACTCTCCATGTGAAATCTAGGCCTATGAGGACTAAGGCTAAGCCACAGAACAAAGGCCACCACGCCCACTAGGAGGAGGAGGCCTAGGAAGCAAGAGCAAAAGAACTTGAAGAAGCGATTTGTTAGAGTCTCACCGACTCGGTGGGCGTAATACCGAGTCCTGTGGGGTCGGGGTTGTTCTAGCATTTTTTGTGGTAGACCAGCAGGGCTTGACATTTTGAGAGCCGTTTCCTGGCAATGTGTTCTAGTTTCTGGCAAAGCGGGCTGTTTTCCGGTGGGTTTTGGGAAATGTGTGGTATGGGATGGTTTCATGGGTTAGGGGTTTATATTTATTTAAGGGCTGAAAAGGGGAAGAATCGATTTGGTTTGGTTAAGGAGGTTTTTGTTTTGGGGTTGTGATGAAAGGAAGGAATATTCTTTCCATTTGTGAAAGTTGTGTTAGATGAAAAAGCACTATAAAACATTAGGAACCCGCCCGTTTTAAAAGAAACGCAGTTTACTTTTGTAACTCTTTCCATTTGTCTTCTCCTCTTCTTAATTTATCGGCAGATGGAGAAAATATAACTGTAAACCCCTCCCTTGAAACGCAGAGAGAAAGTAACATTTCGAAGCAAATAAGTAATGCACATTATGCCATCGAGTATAGCCAAAACTACATTTAGGTGTTAGGAACATGCAAGTTTCAAAAACTGGACTCTTGGCTGAGTCGAGTCAGAGTTATGCGCAACTAAAAAACATTCAAAAAAATAGTAATTTGTTTTTAGAGATAGATAAAAATAGGAAAGATGAAAAAATATGTATAAAAATATAGATTATTGAATTTAATTTAGATATTTAATATTTCAATAAAATAGAAAATATAAAAAATATAAAAGTTCTCAAGTCATCTTAAAAATTACTTAAACCATCTAAAATTTTATTTCCAACGGTTTAATTGCATTTCCCAAATTTTTTATATTTTTCTATTTGTTTATATTTTATTATAATATTTATATGGGTGGGGCGAGTTCTTTGGACGAGTCCAAGTAACTCAACCTGGGTGAGTCACAAAAGGCTCGGGAAATGTGTTAGTTCTTATGGATGGATATATGGCACACACTCTCCATCAACTTCCAGCTTTTTATTATTGCATGGTGATGACCCTCGTCGCCACAGGATTCTGAGAATGATGGTCCACTTTTGTGAATGCTAATAACGATAGTCCACTTTTCCTAAATTATTTACCACAAGCAATCACTGCGCACTCTTTGTGATGGATTATAGATAATTAATTAAGGGTGTGGTTCCTATAAGGTTGCAACATTAAACAATTCAATTAAGACGTACCTTCAAATTTTACATCGTAAAATGTAATTTTGGTGTAAAGTTTTATTAGGATTATCCCAAAATCTATTTTTATATCTAATTATAAAATTTTAAACTCTAAAAATTGTTAAAATTAAGTAAATCTATAAACAAATGAAAATCTTGAAAATGGACAGTATAGATAATGTACTGCAAAATGCATTATTTCTGGAACTCAAAATCTTTTTCTTTTTTTATATTCATACATCTTGTTGTCGAGATGATCAATTACAGGATTTTTCCATATTAAAACAACCTTTTTCGATGGATTTTTGTAACTCTACATTTTAAAATTGCATCCTTATATAAACTTTTTCTATCAATCAATTAATGTATAACGGTGGATGTCGTTCAAAAACTTTAGGTAATCTCCAGATCGGCATCGTTGCAGAGACGGAGGGTGGGTTCCTGTGAAGGTTCACCGTTGTGGACCATGGCTTCAACTTTGTGATATGGAAAAAGGTGTTGTAAAAGAGAATAAAGAGGAGAGAGTTGTGTTCTCGCGCTTTACGTACCCACAGAAGATGAAATTTCTACGTATGCTTATACCTAGGGAAGATGCCACGTCTTCGCGGCCACAAAAAGAAGACCGCGGCGAAGTTATATGACGATTTTAAATTTTAGGGCAAATTTATCTCTATCTGTTGGTACACGTTTGTGCTTTTTCAATGTATTTTGCCTTTTCAATGTATACAAGACAGGAAATTAAAGGATGCACGTTTCTGCTTTTTCAATGTATACAAGACAGGAACATTACAGAATATATTTGAACTTTTCAATGTATCTTGTATATAAAATTGATGTTATTTCGTATAACCATCAAATTTGTGCAATGTTGATATATGCACCTCACATTTCTTTTCAAGTGCTGAGTTGCAAGAGGGCTTTCTCTCCATAAAAATTTTCCATTCAAATGCCATTCACATCGTGCCATGCCATAATAATGGAGTTGTCGTTGAAATGGTCCCCATGCTTGGGGAGTGCATAGCATGGCTTCTGCGCATGGCATCCGTATTGAAACATTTTAAAGGAAGAAAAACTGCTTATTACGAAACAACAGCCCTACATTTGAAACTTGCAATGTGCGTAAATTCAAGTACTCGGTTCGTCCTATTTCAATTTGGTTTCGGTTCATCCTATTTCATTTTGGTTTGGACATGAGAACTATTTATATTTTTCAGCTCCAATCACATGCATAGACCGTGGCCCTTTTTGGTGCGCCTATGTCTAATCCATCTATTGTTGATGTTGTAATGGAAAGATGCAAAGAAAATATTAGTTTTTTTTTTTTTTTTGAATGATAAAGAAAATAGCTAGTTCATAATGTACTAGCCAGAAGTAGAATTCAAGTGTAGGGGGTTCAAGAGTGATATCTGAGAATCCTCACTCCAAGCAAAGCCTGTGTGATAGCATTTGAATTTTGTGAGCAAGATTTTGAGTCTTATAATGGTACAATCCTTCATTTATATCTCGCACAGATAATCTTGCCAATCCATGACTCTGTGTTCGACATTCCCTAATTGTATACCCTATTTATAGAAGAAAAATAAAAACTATAAACAATAAATACATTCAAATTTGCCTTTGATCCAGATAGAAATTGCCTTTGATCCAAATAGAAATATATTAAGATTGAGGAGTACACCTTATTATGATTACACGCTTACTCCTTTTTTTATGAGGAGAAAGAAATATACATGTAAAATTTAGAAGTACACCTTACTCCTTTTTTTATAAAGAGAAAGACATATACAACATGAATCACTAAACTCAGGGCTAATATAACTATGATTACACGCATTTGAGAATTCCCATGCACAATCAAATATTGTTGATTCTCTAATAACTTGATCAACAACTCAAAGTCTTGTGGATGAAAGTGCCATCTTCTCACCTACACGCAAGTAGAACACAATTTGGTGAATGACACTATCACATAATCATCAAAAGCAAAAGACCAATAACTATTCACACCAGTTGACATCCCATGGATAAAGCAAGTAATTTCAACAACAATTATGTTCTTAAATAATAGACATTGTGCACTAGAATCTGCTTTCATTTACAACTAGGCCCATCACACTATTTTAATAAGCTAAAGGATGGTTCAAGTTCAATTGCAAGTAGGCTAGCAAACATAAGGAAAGCTTACACCATATTCCCAGAAATAATACCAATCACACCCACCATTGACGTACAAGAGAGGCATAGGTTCGTAGGCCCAGTACGGGGATAGAGAGTACGTCTGCTGACCGTCCATTCAAACTACAACCAATCCCCACCGTTGACGTACGAAGCTCTCATCAGCGAGGCTGCATATGAAATCATTTTCCTATATATATATATATATATATATAAAGATTCCTACCTTAAGCCCATACTGAACTAAGCCCATTATGGGACGAAGAGGCCCTACCGGAATCGGGGCAAAGGTAACTTGGCCCAGTCCGAGCCTTGGCTCTTGGTTAGGTGGCCCTACCTGGACCTATTAGCAGTTGGGGTGGGGCTTATTACAATTTTTTTTAATATTACTTGAAAATAAATAAAAAGGTGCCAGGCTAGACTGGCACTGTCCCAAGTTCGACCACCAGGAGGAGATTTCAGGTCATGGCCCATGTAAAGCTCTTTTGAATAACTTCCCATAACATTCCATGTTTCGTTGGCGCAACTCTCTCTGAAAAACACATAACACTGTGATTTACTGAAAATTAGTTGAAAGTTGCACTTTTCTAAGTCGTTCTCCTCCCCATAATACCAAATTAAGGATAATCAAAGATAAAAACTAAATTGAAGGCAAATCAGAGGATTGAGCTGTGGATTTTAGAGAAATTTATTGAGCATACAACGTGGAAACTTTAGCCATGCTTCACCGTCCTACTTCCATCTTGGGAGTTTGATTCCTAGTCCCTTCGACATCTTCATTTCTACCAAATCGAAGACATTCAGTACTTCAAAGAAAATGAGACAATCTCATGCTTATGAGCATGTTTAAGTGGAAGGGTCTGGCCAATAAAGAAAGTGCCCCAAACCAATATTAATTGGAAAGGTATATAAAGAGATTAATTTATTTAAGTGGAAGGTTCCGTCAGATTTCAAATTGTCTAATTGTGAGTGTGCCATAGACTAAACTCAAAGCTTAAAACCAATCTTGAACTTTACAACATACCTCAAGCCATTCAATTTGACATTCAATGACTACTAACCATTATGATCTCCTTGTAATAAAGATAAATGGTCTCATATTATACATTCTCTAATTAATTTGATCAATGGTTATCGGGTGTGAGGCATTTGCCCTCAAAATTTTCCATAAATGAAATTTCAGAGATGAGATATTGATGAGGAGGTAGCATCTACATTGCCTAGGATGGCCATAGACCAGGAGTCCATCCTTGGTCAAAGAACCATGTTCCTAATTCCTTAAACAATGACATTTATACACCGTTTTCTAGGGACCACCTACCTTCTATGTGAAATGATCACATGAGCCAGGTTCATTGAAGCCTATACGAACTCCTATGGATCAAACTCCATTCAATCCCACACCTTTTTGGGAAATTTATCAAAGGGTGCTGTTTGTATAAGGTTGACGCTCTAAACAATCAAAACAAGGCGCACCTTCAAATAGTATTGAAAGATGTCATTTCAGTATCAAAAATATTTGTGATGGCCTAGAAATTTGTTTTCATCTCTAACTATAAAAATTAAAGCTTAAAAAATGGTGTAGATCAAGCAAATCTATGTACACTTGAAAATATTTAAAATTGACGGTCTAGATAATGGCTTACAAGATGCACTATTCCAAGACTTGAAGTCCATTTTTTTTTTTACGTTTATGTATCTCAAGGTCGAGATGATCGGATTTGAGGATTTTTTGGCACGAAAAAACTTTTTCTAGTGCACCTTAATTTGATTGTTTAAGGCCTCAACCTTATATAAAATAAACTTTTTCCTCTATCAAAAGGCAATTTGTTTCATGAGTTAGAGTACGTACTTCAACAAATGCGTCCCCTTATGCATTCCGCATCCATCTTACAATGGATGTAGAAAAATGGTGGCCCACCTAAGCTCAAAATGAACGGTGTTGTTATTTTTTAGTTTTTCAAATTTATTTTCCATTTTTATATTCATATTCATCAATGTTGAGTTTCTCAATTCATAAATTTTTAGATCGAAGATTTATCTCTGGGATGCATTTTGGAGAAAGAACTCATATGAATGGATGAGTTGGTGGACTCACTAAAACTTGTCATTGGGTGTGGATTGCATAAGGTTGCAACCTCAAACAATTTCCTACTTCCAAATTTTATCAGAAGATATAATTTTGGTGTCAAAACTTATTCAGATGGCCTGAAAATCTATATTCAGCTCTAGTTCTAAAATTTTAAACTTCAAAAATAGTTTAAATCAAGTAGATATGCAAATACATAAAAATCTTAAAAATAGATTGTCAAGATAATATGTGCAAAATGCACTATTTTTATTACTCAAAATCTTTTTTTTTTCCATATCTCTCCATCTCGATGTCGAGATAATCAATTAGAGGATTTCCCAACAGCCTTTTTAAATGGATTTTTGAGATGCACCTTAATTCTACGCTTTAAAGTTGCAACCTTATGTAAACATTTTCCTCATCAAAATACCTTTGAGAAATGCATTATTTAACATACTACACATTTATAACTATTTCAAACTGTGATCATGGTATTTTGAAATAAAATCAAACAATAAGCATAAAATATTTAATATTTAATATTTAATATTTAATATGAGATATATTTTGATGAATTTCCCTTTCTTTTTAGCCTGTAGTGCACCCATGTGCACGTTGGTAAACTAGCCAGTTGCTTCTAATTCCAAAGCAATTCTCAATTAACAAAAAAAAAATCTCAGAAATATTCTTTAAGAACTTGAAAATTTCTCAAATTCCTATCCTGTGGAGAAGACCCACAAGCAACAGACAGGAATCACTCAGCAATGCTTGTTATTTTAGTGGTGCGTTTTGGTTTTCTTGTATATGATGGTGTGCAGGAGAATGTGAGCTGATTAAAATAAAAGGAAAGAGTTAGCGTTTTAGGGGAGGATTTTCTCTAGGTGGCTCAGCCTTCCATGCTAAAATCTTAATTTAAGGGTAACCATGCTGGAGACATTTAATTCAAGGATATGCAGGAGAGAGAATTATTTATGTTGACTGAATTAGCCCCAATCTAAGCCATACTTTTTTATCTAATTTCAAGTTGTCCATAAATCAAATTTTCAAATTGAAATGAGTTTTGAAATTTATCAAAATACACCTAAGATAAAATGTTTAAATATTAGGTACATTTTGATAATTTTTTTGAAAGGTTATTTAGATTAAAGAAAGTCGGTAATCTTCGAGTGCAATTGAGCAGGTGAGATGAATTTGTTTTTTTTTTTTTTTTTTTTTTTTTTTTGTCCCAAAGCATAAATTTGTCAAGCAAATGTTATTTGGAGATAATGTAATTAGATGCGCCTCAAATAGTAAAATCATTTGTTTGATTACTTAGATTTCTTTCTTTGTTTCATTAGCAATTCATCATTTTTATTTATCATATTTGGTGAGTCAATTAGACAGAATTATGAAGATGGGTATGAAATCTAAGTAATCAAACAAATACTTAAAAGTCAGCTTAACAAGCTGCATTTTAGTAATTTCATTAAACTGCAGGTGAAATTTATGTAGTAGTGCATGTGCTCTCTTATAGCTCTTTTCATTTTTTTTTAGTTTTCATTGATTAGATCACATGAATTAAACCATTTGCAGTTCAGAATCTCAGAAGGAAGGACTGATCACATACAAACAGAGAAGGGCCTTTTCATGAAAGAGAGCTCTACATTTCCATCCAAAAGAATCAAAGCTTCTCTGAAATGGCCTCGGATCATGTTCTCATAGTCCTGATAACATTCTTTCTCCTATTGAACTTAAGCTCTGGTGCTCTCACAGTTCAGTTTTACAGGCATTCGTGCCCTCAAACTGAGACAATAGTGAGAACAATAGTGACGCAGCATTTCACGAGCGATCCATCGATCCCAGCTGGCTTGCTTCGCCTGCATTTCCATGACTGCTTCATCAGAGTAAGCCTCCTCAACCTTCACATTTTTTTGCAATCCAATGCTTGGGCCACGACAGTTAACAAAACTATCTGGCTCTCCCTCTCTTCTGATTACTAGTTTTCTCGTACCAGTTATCTATTTTTGTTTCTTATCTCAGTTTTTTAGTATATTCAATCTACACTCACATGCATAAAAGTTCTACAGCTTATTGATTCTATTTTAGTTCACTTTTTATGAAACGTTTTGAAGTCTTGAATCTACTCACCCCATGTAAATTGTGTCTGCGTCAAACTAAAGCATATGTGTGGCTCTCGTGTTACAAAACAGGGGTGTGATGCTTCTGTTCTAATAGACAGCAGAGGCGGTCACGCCGCAGAGAAAGAAGCACCGCCCAATCTGACACTTAGAGGATTCGAAATAATCGATGAAATCAAAAGCGAGTTGGAGAAGCAATGCAAAGGGATTGTTTCATGCGCAGATATATTGGCGCTGGCAACAAGAGATGGAGTGGCATTAGCAGGAGGGAACTTTTATGCTCTCCCTACAGGGAGGAGAGATGGGACTATTTCTAACATTGAAGATGTGCACCTGCCTGGCCCCTCTTTCTCTGTTGATGCTGCTCTAACGGCTTTTACATCCATCAACATGGACTTGTCTGATCTCACCACTCTACTTGGTGAGTGAGATCCTACGACAAAGATAGCCAACCTCTCCTCTCTCTCTCTCTCTCTCTCTCTCTCTCTCTTACTTCGTTACTTACGTTCGTACGTTACGTTCTACGTTACTTCGTACTACGTACTTAC